GCCTGATAGCACAGGACAGGGGTCCAACTTGCCAAACTGTTACTGAATTTTATGGCTACCCCGGAGCCTCCCAATGGCACTAATTTCATTTGTGTGTCAAGTGCTAGGATCAAGGTATGGGCCAAGTCTGTGGAAGGGCAGAGGGCTAAACCACTAAGTTGGCCAGAGGATCTGAAAGTCCTGTTTCCTGGTTACCAATCACTTCCCAGGAATCTTTTTTTTAGAGAGAGAGGAAGGGAGAGAGGGGGCAGGAAGAGAGGGAGAGAGAGAGAGGGAGAGGAGAGAGACATCGATTCGTTGTGCCACCTATGCATGCATTTATTGGTTCATTCTTGTATGTTCCCTGACCAGGGATCAAACCCACAACCTTGCCGTATTGGGAACGACACTCTAATCAACTGAGCTACTGGGCCAGGGCCTTCCCAAGGAATATTAATCATTAAGAACTTTTCCACTTTTCCTGCTTCCCACATCCATTTACACTGGAGCTTCCCACAGGCCCAAAGGATGTGCTTCTAGTCTCTCTACACCATCCATCAGTGCACCTGCCACCAGCTCTGATGACACCAGTGCCCTGCTTAGCAACTTCTAACAGCTCCCCATCGCCTACTGGATTGAATCCAATCTTCTTGCCCGATACCCAAGGCTCTTCCTGATCAGACCTTGTCCAAATTTTCTTATCACTTACTCTCATTGGTTTTAGAGGGGCAGTCCCCCTGTGTGCAATAAATCTATCTTATGGAGGAAAGGGTTTGGCTTCAGAAAACCTGGTTCTACTACTGGTGCTATTTCAGGAAGGCTTAGCAGGCTGGGACCCCCTTGAGGGCAAGGGTGGTATCTTATTTTTTCTGTATTCTACCACCAAGCTCAGGCCTGGCATTTGGAAGGCTCAGTGAGTGGTGAGTGCTCATGCTGTTTACAGATAAAGTCTGGGAGCCGGGCACAGTGCTAGGTGCTATGCTATAGCAGAGGTAAAGGGGACATGGGTCCATCTTCACAGAGCTTGCAGCCTAGCATGGTGTTACATCAATTTGACCCACTTTTATTGCATGTGATGTGCCAGGTATGTACATGAGGGAATGAGGGCTGGTCCCCTCTTTATGTTAATTCATTTTAATTTTTATTGATTTCAGAGAGAAAGGGAGGGAGAGGGAGAGAGAAAGAGAGAGAGAAACATCAATGATGAGACAGAATCATTGATTGCTGCCTCCTGTACAATCACATTGGGGATCGAGCCTGCAACCTGGGCATGTGCCCTGACTGGAGATCGAACTGTGACCTCCTGGTTCATAGGTCGATGCTCAACCACTGAGCCATGCCAGCCAGGCTATGCCAATTTCTTACTCTCTGCAATAGAACCATGAACAGACTAATGAATTTCAGAGGGAAGGTGGGGGGAGGGAGGGAGATTAACTGGGGAACCTATATACATACTAGAGGCCCGGTGCATGAAATTCGTGCACGGTGTGGGGGAGGGGGTCCCGCAGCCCCGCCTGCACCTCTCGCAATCCAGGCCCCCTTGGGGGATGGCCGACTGCCGGTTTAAACTGGCAGTCAGACATCCCTCTCACAATCCGGGACTGCTGGCTCCTAGCCGCTCGCCTGCCTGCCTGCCTGTTGCCCCTAATCCCTCTGCCTACCTGCCTGATCTCTCTCCCTTAACTCCTCTGCCTGCCTGCCTGTTGCCCCTAACCACTCACCTGCCTGCCTGATTGCCTCTAACTGCTTACCTACCCACCTGATCACCCCTAACCACTAGCCTGCCTGCTTGATCGCCCCTAACTGCTCGCTTGCCTGCCTGATCACCCCTAACCACTCTACCTGCCTGCCTGATTGCCCCTAACCGCTTGCCTGCCTGCCTGATCGCCCCTAACCGCCTCTGCCTTAGCCCCCGCTGCAGCGGCTTCGTCCAGAAGGACGTCCAGAAGGTCGTTCAGCTGTCCGGTCTAATTAGCATATTATACTTTTATTATTATAGATTATGTATAACCCATGGACACAGACAATAGTGTGGTGAGAGCTTGGGAGGGGCGGGTGGTTGGAGGAGGGGGTCAATGGGAAAAAACACACACAAAAAACAAAAGAAATCTGTAATGCTTTCAACAATAAAGATAAATTTAAAAGAAAGATAAAGTGAGATGAGGGAAAGAATTCCATTTATTGTAAGCAGCTATACATTGTGAGGGTTATTCCTATCAGTCTTTGCCTTAAATTTACCTTTTCCATGTTTTAGTAATCTCACTTTCTCTGGTATTTTGGAAATTGGTAGAGAAGTTGGCCATGTCAGTGACAAATTTTAAAGACCCGGTTCACACCTCCTTTCCGTCTCCGCCTTTTCAGTCTCAGAGGCACCACCTTTCAGCCATGCCTTGACACCCACTGCCTCTACTGGATGACTCTCCTCACCCTTCAGGCCTTGCTTAAAGGTCACCTCCCCTCCGAAGCCCTCCCTGACCGCCCCTTCTCATTCTCCATCATGCACACTATTTGCTTCTACTAGTATTCATTCGTTAAACATGTATTTACTATGTGTCAGGCACTGTTCTGTGTGTGGGGGGTGGGGGTGGGGGAGAGGTATATCAGAGAAGAAACAGAAATCACTGGAGTTCACATTCTAGTGGGAGATAGTCATTAAATAAGATCAGAAGTGAAAACATACAGCATGTTTGTGTTAAATGCTGAAGAGGAAAAAACTGGGGAAAGGGGCAGGGTGTGTGTGTGTGTGTGTGTGTGTGTGTGTGTGTGTTCTCCAACTGCTAGTTTGCTTCCTGGCTGTTTCCCCCCTAAACGATCACAGTGGGCATGTGATAACGAGGTGTTGCTCCAGGAGCAAAGGCCGCCTCCATCGCTAGGCCCTGCTTCCAGGAGGCGGAAAGGGAAATCCCGAGGAAAAGGGAGGAAAGTCAGTCCCTCTGGGCGCTGGGAAGAGGCCTGCACCACGACCCGAGCCGCGGCGCTGGTGTGTGGACAGGGCCGCTGTCAGGCGTGGGAGAGGGACGCGGTAACCGGCCCGCAGCTGCGAGAAGTGGCGAGAGGGAAGGGCACTCAGCGCACCCACTACGTGCAGAGCGCTGAGCAGGTGCGCTGGCCTAGGCGTTTCTATTCTGTCTTTATTACAGCAAAGGGCCCTGGGCTCAAGGGGAAGTCCTTGCCAAGCTCCAGCTGCTGGTTAGCGGCCCAGGTTCCTCCGAGTCGGGGTTTGAAGTCCAGGTGTTCTGGCCCCATCCCTGCCCGGACCCGACCACTCACCTACACAGCTGGGCTTCCCTTCACCGGAGGATCCTTCCTGTTCCCGCCCCCGAGGGTGGGGCAAGACAAGGATGCCTGGCCTTGATTGGTTCGATTGGCTGCCACTCACAGGACGAGGCTCGGCGCCCAGCCCCTTTCGTTCCCAGCAGGCCTTGCGCACGGGAAGATGGCGGCGTCCTGGTGGAGGTCTTGAGGAGAGCAAGTCGGCAGGCATGGCGTTGGCGTCGGGGCCCGCCAGGCTGGCGCTGGCTCGCCCCGGACGGCTCGGCCTTGGGGGCTGTGGGGCCCCGAAACGCGGAGCGTACGAGTGGGGCGTCCGCTCCACGCGGAAGCCCGAGCCTCCTCCCCTAGACAGGGTGTACGAAATCCCTGGACTGGAGCCCATCACCTACGCGGGGAAGATGCACTTCGTGCCCTGGCTGGCGCGGCCGGTCTTCCCGCCCTGGGATCGCGGCTGGACGCATCCAAGGTTCTGCCAGCCGACCCCCGTGCACGAGCATCCGCTGTACAAGGACCGGACCTGCCACACCTTCCACCAGCGCTGCCGCCTCCTGGAGGGTGAGGCCCCAGGCCGGGCGGGAGGGGACCTCGTTCCTCTTCCCAGCGCTGACCCCTGCCCTCGGTAGCGCCGGGCAAGACGTTGACAATCCGAGGGTCTCGGTTTCTTCGTCTGCGGAACGGGGCCAGTAGTGACTCCTGCTTTCCGAGAGGCGTTTGGATTCAGTGGGTTGTAAAGTCCCCGATCGCTTCCCTACCCCATCTGGTTCTCTAGCTCTCCATCCTCCGGAGTTTTGTTATAGACTTTCCAGAACGCTTTCAAGTTTAAGGAGCAGCGGCAGTGTGGGGACTCAAACTACGCTCCCGCTCCAGGGTTTTTTATGCTCCACTGCAAAATCCAGAAATTCCATCTCTACATGTTTGCATGGGTTCAATCCTGATGCATGAGGTCCCTGTGGTAAGATACGGGCTTTTCCTGTCAGGAATGGGGGTGAGTCAGTTGAAGAGATCTGGGTTTGGAAAGGTGGGCATCCGTTGACCTGATCCCCCAGGGTCGGCCTGAGTGCAGCAGACAGACCCTTAGGGCTCAGCCGTCTCAGCCCCTTTTTAATGGCTCTGGGGCTGGCCCGCACGGTCTCAGTTAACCACCCATCGGTAGACAGTCATTCCTGGAGGGGAGTTGAAATCTGGCTGTGCTCGCTTCTGCTCCTCATTGTTAGTTCTGATCTCTGCAGCCTTTGCCACAAGATGGGCTTAAGTATCTCAGTCTGAATTGTCTTTTTTTTTTTTTTTTTTGGTGACTGGCTATCCCAAAGGTGTAAAGCAGGCCCTCTGGCTCACCAAGACCAAGTTAATTGAAGGTCTTCCCGACAAAGTACTCAGCCTTGTTGACGACCCACGGAACCACATAGAGAACCAAGATGAACGCGTTCTGAACGTGATCTCTCATGCCCGTCTCTGGCACTCCACTGAAGACATCCCCAAGAGAAAGACCTATTGGTAAGTTTCCCCCAAGTCAGTAAGATTTCCAGGTGATGGGCTTTGGGGTCAACATGTTGTTTTATGTCTACAAATGTTTCTTCTTTTTCCCAAGCCCCGTCATTGTGGACAGCCTGATACAGCTGTGTAAATCCCAGATTTTAAAGCATCCTGCTCTGGCCAGGCGGATCTGCGCCAAAAACTCCAGGGTATCCACCACCTGGAACCGAGGTTGGTCATTTGTTAGTCAGAAAGCTTTAGTCTGTTTTTTATCTTTCTATTCTTAGCCTTACCACCAGCTCATATGATCAGCCCCCCACCCCCACCCCACCCCCATGTGTATCCTCACTTCTGTCCTTCATGGTCCAATTTTGTAGATTTAGGCACATCCTCAATTTCATTAGAGTTTTAATGGGCAGCTTGAGGGGCCCAGCTTTTTTGTTTGTTTTTTTAATATATTTTTTTTATTGATTTCAGAGAAGAAGGGAGAGGGAGAGAGAGATAGAAACATCAGTGATGAGAGAATTCGTTGATCAGTTGCCTCCTGCACACCCCCACTGGGGATCAATCCTGAAACCTGGACATGTGCCCTTGACTGGAATCGAACCCAGGACCGTCAGTCCACAGGCTGACAGTGTATCTACTGAGCCAAACCACCTAGGGCTGTTTGTTTTGTTTTTAATCACTTCTTTCCAAGACTGTTAATTCAGCCGTATCTATTGAGTGCCTGCAGGGGCCTAAATGTGACAACGTAAGGAGGTAATGAAGCACACAGAGTCTCTGCCCTCACAAAGCTCATATTCTATTGCCAGAGCCTTTTTATCCCATGCATGCTTTTCTCCGTTTCCAACCCATTTTCCACACAGCTGCTAGAGTGATCTTTCTAAAGTGCACATCTTATATCCCTCTCATACCAAATCCCTCACTGTCTCCCAGCGGTGGCTTAAACCATTTATCACGGTACCCAAGGCCCTTTGTGCTTTGGGCACTGGCTAGTCTTTCTAGCCTTGTCTCTTGCTCTACTGCCTATCACTCCCCATGCCCAAATTTATACTTTAGCCACTTGGCAGCTTTTTGGCATCAAGATTTTACACCTTTGCACATGCTGTGCACTCTATCTGGAATGCTCTTTCCTACTTCCTTCATTTAAGTAAATTTTTACCTGTAAGACTCAACTCATGCCCCCTTCTTGTGTGTATCCACACAAGTTAACTATTCCTACTCTGTGATTCTTATGCCCATTATGCATACTTCTTTCATAGTATACTGTATTGTAATTATCTAATACTAGAGGCCCGATGCATGAAACTTGTGCAAGAGTAGGCCTTCCTTCCCCCAGCTGCCAACACCAGCTTCCCTCCGGCACCCAACACCTGGGCTTCCCTCGCAGCCCTGGCTTCATCCTGAAGGACATCCAGTCTAATTAGCATATTACGCTTTTATTATTATAGATTTTTCCTGTCTGCTCCACTGCACTGTGAACTTTGCCTACAGTGTCTTAACAGTTCATGGTACATGATGGGTGCTGACTGAAGGGATGTGTGAATGAGTACCAAATTTTAAGTGTCTCAGGCAGGGATGGTCAGAGTACACAGGCGTTCTGATGAGTGGAAACCTGAAGCAGGGAGACCAGCGAGGGAATAATTTGGGATTTTCAGGACATCTGCTTGGTCACATTTCTCCAGCTTGCCCCTTTGAGTCGACTTCCTGGCAAGGAGTCAGCTTTGTAGAGGTAATGGCACCACTAAGGAAATTAGTGAACCTCATTAATAGAGGAGCACTTGTTGGCCCATCATCAAGTATTACCTCTAATTAAACTGCCCCATTTGGAGCTGTCACTGGAGGAGGGATGTGGAGGGAATTGAATTGGAAACCACACTAGAGTGGTCTGTGGGGAGAAGCTAAAACCCAAGGTTAGGAGAGGTCCAGGCACATTTATCTTCTTTGCAGATTAAATGTGAGGAAACAGGAAATACTTCAGAAAACTGTTCCTGAGGTATAGGTATGATTTATTTTAACAAATAGTTTATCTATTCATAGATGTAGTATCCCTTTTCTGCATACCCAATAAGGGAGGCCGTATGCAAATTAAATGGCAGTTTTTAATGGCCACACAACACATAAGCTTGTTATTCTTTTTTTTAAAATATATTTTTATTGATTCAGAGAGCAAGAGAGAGATAGAAACAAATGATTAGAGTCATTGATCGGCTGCCTCCTGCATGTCCCCCACTTGGGATTGAGCCCACAGCCCAGACTGGGAATCGAACTGTGACCTCCTGGTTCATAGCTCGACATTCAACCACTGAGCCATGCCAATCAAGCAAGATCCTCATTTTTGATCCATTACTATTGCACAGCTATTTGACTATTTCTAAAAAACCACACATCTTTAGGGGAAGATTTGCTCCGTGGAGAATTCTTATGAAGCCATTCTCAAGGAGTCTGGTGGCATGTGGCCACCTGTGGGGACCTCTGTGAAGGTCATTCACATCCAGAGTGGCAGGCTTGCTAATTAGTCAGATGTGAGTTTTCTTCTGTACACCTATGTCTCTTTGTAGCAAATATGCTAATCCAAGTGCTAACGTTGAGGAGCTCTGCCCTTGACAACCTTCAGAAGCTGGTTTGAAGGCAGTGCCTCTTTCAGGAAGCTTCCCAGGCCTCCTGAAGGAGGCCGTTCCCACCTCCACGACCTCTGAGTGTGGTTCACTTTTGCTGTAGCACTTACTACCTGGTGAGCGTCTTGAGAGCAGAGAGTAATTCTCACTTACTGCTGGGTCTCCAGCTTAGAGCAGGGATGATCTGTATGGAGCAGACTCGAACCTACAGAAACCGCCAGGTCTTAGGGGGTCACTGGGAAGGGAACACAGGAAGAAGAATGTGCTCAGACCAGTGTGGCACAATTGGTTGGGTGTCCTCCAGTGCACCAAAAGGTTGCCGGCTGATTCCCAGTCAGGGCACATGCCCAAGTTGCGGGCTCAATCCCTGGTGGGGGGGTGCAGGAAGTAGATAATGGTATTTCTCTCCCCCTCTCTCTCTCTCTCTCTCTCTCTATCTCTCTCTCTCTCTTCCTTCCTCCCTCCCTACCTCTCTCTCTCTAAAAATCAATAACAATATATGTTTAATTTTTTTGTTAATCCTCATCTGAGTGTATTTTTCCCATTGCTTTTTCAGAGAGGGAGGGAGGGAGAGAGGAAAAGAGAGAGAAACATCAATTGGTTGCCTGTCGCATGCGTCCCAACCAGAGGCAGGTATGTACCCTTGGCTGGGAATGGAACCCATGACCCTTTGGTGCACAGGCTGACATTCTAACCACTGACCCACGCCGGCTGGGGCAATAATATATATATAAAGAAAAATAAATTAGTCCCAGGATTAATATCTTTTTTTTTTTTTAAATATATTTTATTGACTTTTTACAGAGAGGAAGGGAGAGAGATAGAGAGTCAGAAACATCGATGAGAGAGTCAGAAACATCGATCAGCCGCCTCCTGCACATCCCCCACTGAGGATGTGCCCGCAACCCAGGTACATGCCCTTGACTGGAATCGAA